TATTTATTTTATTTCGTAAAATTTTTGGATTTTTTGAACCGGTTCCAAAAAACCGGTTTTTATTTTCAACAAAACCGGTTCGAAAAAATAGGAATTTTATAAAATGTTTTATCATTTATAGAGGCAAACAATTATTTTTTGTAATTTTTTTTTAATTCTCTCTAGGATGACCTGGTTTTAAAAACCCGGGCTTTCGTTATAAAAACAGTATCAAAACCCGGTTTAAAAATCAATTTTAATTACAAAAAATGTTACAAAATTAATTTCAAATAAAAAGTAGTGTATTTATTTTATTTTATAAAATTTTTGGATATTTTGAACCGGTTCCAAAAAAACCGGTTATCATTTCCATCAAAACCGGTTCGAAAAAATAGGAATTTTATAAAATGTTTTATCATTTATAGGGGCAAACAATTTTTTTTTTAATTCTCTCTTGGATGACCTGGCTTTAAAAACCTGGTTTTTCGTTATAAAAACAGTATCAAAACCCGGTTTAAAAATCAATTTTAATTGCAGAAAATGTTACAAAATTAATTTCAAATAAAAAGTAATGTATTTATTTTATTTCATAAAATTTTTGGATATTTTGAACCGGTTCCAAAAAAACCGGTTATCATTTCCATCAAAACCGGTTCGAAAAAATAGGAATTTTATAAAATGTTTTATCATTTGGGGGCAAACAATTATTTTTTGTAATTTTTTTTTAATTCTCTCTAGGATGACCTGGCTTTAAAACCCCGGTTTTTCATTATAAAAACAGTATCAAAACCCGGTTTAAAAATCAATTTTAATTACAGAAAATGTTACAAAATTCATTTCAAATAAAAAGTCATGTATTTATTTTATTTCATAAAATTTTTGGATTTTTTGAACCGGTTCCAAAAAAACCGGTTATCATTTCCATCAAAACCGGTTCGAAAAAATAGGAATTTTATAAAATGTTTTATCATTTATAGGGGCAAACAATTATTTTTTGTATTTTTTTTTAAATTCTCTCTTGGACGATCCACCCGACTTTTAAAATAAACTGGTTTTTCATTGTAAAAACTGTATCAAAACCGGTTCGCGCGATTTCTAAAAATCAATTTTAATTTCAGAAAATGTTACAAAATTTATTTCAAATAAAAAGTCATGTATTTATGTATTTTGAACCGGTTCAAAAAAACCGGTTATCAAAACCGGTTCGAAAAAATAGGAATTTTATAAAATGTTTTATCATTTATAGTGGCAAACAATTATTTTTTGTAATTTTTTTTTTAAATTCTTCGGTGCATTTCAAGGGTTAGGTATGGCTGTTCTGAAAAAAAAAGGGTTTATATTTTCATCAAAACCGTTTCAGGAATATATATATATATATATATATACTTTATTGGATCGAAAATGATTATTTCGATGAGTTACAAACGGAAAAACAAAATTAATATACCCTCCATACTATGGTGGAGGGTATAAAAATTCACGTTTATATTATTTTAAAAAAAATTAGGGCCTTGAATGGTTACTCAAAAAAAATTAAATTCAAATTAAAATATTTTTTTTTTTTTCATTTTTGTTTTCGTATTTTAGACTCCCACCCCATTTCCCAATGCCGTAGTTCTCCTGCAATTCTATGCAGCTTTCCATTCATATCGAAAACAAGAACAAATTCATAGATTTCATATCTGTGTATGGGCTTCATTGATAAATGTAAAGAAAAAAATTACAACAACTACAACTGAATTTTTTTTAATCGCCGAACATAAATAGGCGATTTTTCTTACACGACAGTGGTAATTGCCACCGAACCTAACGCCTTATTTGGTGTGGCCGCGAGAACTCATTCAGCAATGACGGTGTGACGACGTTCGTTCACATGACAGTTACCGCCAGAGCTTTTGTGCGTGGTTTATGTTTCTTAGAGTTTTTGTTGTTGTTTCCATATTTTTTTTTTTTGTTCTCCATATACCTCTCGTCTACCTACATATGTTTAATACAGTTACTATGTTTTTATTTTATTATTATTTTTTGTTACGTTCATTGTCCCACTTTAGGTTAATCTTGGTGTTGGCTGGCTGGCTGACTTGTATGACAGGCAGGTTTGGTTGATTGGCGCAGTCGAACGACCGACCAACAACAATAATGTTTTTATTATGAGATTATTATTTTTTTATGTTACTTCTGTTGTTGTTGTTTTATTTATAACATAATGTGCGGACGGACCTCTAAGCCACCAACCTACAGCTTGCTGACATTTATGATGTACCACTGTTGCTGCAGATCGCCTGTTGGTGTTGCTAGCTCTTCACAGTCTTCGTCATCAGCTCAATGATGTTGTTTTTTTCGGAAATTGTTGATGATTTGTCTGTGTGTCGTCCATTGTGTCATGAACATTTTTCACATGAAATATAGACAAATAAGAGGAAGTTAGGAGAGGAGAAAACAAAGAAGAAAAAAGTCATCATTTCCCCACAACCGTCTTCTCTAAGCTCTAGATGTACAATTTTTTTAAACACAGCATCTGTAACAGGTTCAAGCTCCCTCCTCGCTTAATGGGCATTTTTAAACAGCAGCTTGTTCAGACATTATATAAATAAAAATAACAACAACAAAAGTTTCCACAAAAAAAAAAAAAATCATAAATATTTTTGAAATTACTGCAATTTGTTGGAGTGCAAAAAATATGCCACTAATTGTTGTGATAAGCAGATGTTTAATATTGCAAAAAAAAAAAAAAAAAAAAAACAAAAAAGTGAAAATGGACTCAAAACAAAAAAAATATTTCTTGAGTGGCCGACATATTCGTCCATTTTTTTTAAAAATATTTTTTTGGTAGCCATCAAAGGTGGGGATTTGAGGGACCTCGAAGAAATATTCAAAAATCACGCCCGTTGAATTTAATTATCTATTTATTCCAAAAAAAAATTTGGATATTTTGAACCGGTTCCAATAAAAAACCGGTTTTTATTTCCATCAAAACCGGTTCAAAAAAGGAATTTTATAAAATGTTTTAACATTTAGGGGCAAAAAAAAATATGTTTTGTTTTGTTTTTTTTTTTTTTTTTTTTAATTTCTGTCTTGGACGACATGACTTTAGAAATCCGGTTTTTCATTATAAAAATGGTATCAACACCCGGTATAGAAATCAATTTTAATTACAGAAAATGTTACATAATTCATTTCAAATCGCGTATTTATTTTATTTCATAAAATTTTTTGGATATTTTGAACCGGTTCCAAAAAAACCGGTTTTCATTTCCATCAAAACCGGTTCGAAAAAATAGGAATTTTATAAAATGTTTTAACATTTAGGGACAGAAAAAAATATTTTTTGTAATTTTTTTTAATTTTTCTCTTGGACGACCTGACTTTAAAAACTCGAGTTTTCATTATAAATACAATATCAAAACCCGGTTTAAAACTATATTTTAATTGCAGAAAATCTTACAGAATTCATTTCAAATAAAAGTCGTGCATTTATTTCATTTCATAAAATATTTGGATATTTTGAACCGGTTCCAAAAAACCCGGTTTTTATTTCCATCAAAACCGGTTCGAAAAAAAGGAATTTTATAAAATGTTTTAACATTTAGGGGCAAAAAAAAATATTTTTTGTAATTTTTTTAATTTCTCTCTTGGACTACATGACTTTAGAAATCCGGGTTTTCATTATAAAAACGGTGTCAAAACCCGGTTTAAAAATCAATTTTAATTACGGAAAATGTTACAATATTCATTTCAAATAAAAAGTCGTGTATTTTATTTCATCAAATTTTGAACCGGTTCCGAAAAAACCCGGTTTTCATTTCCATAAAAACCGGTTCGAAAAAATAGGAAGTTTATAAAATGTTTTATCATTTAGGGGTAAACAATTATTTTTGTAATTTTTTTAAATTCTCTCTTGGACGACCCACCCGATTTCTAAAATAAACCGGGTTTTAATATAAAAACAGTATAAAACCGGTTATAGGGGGTTTTAAAAATCAATTTTAATTACAGAAAATGTTACAAAATTCATTTCAATCGTTTATTTCATACAATTTTTGGATATTTTGAAGCGGTTCCAAAAAAAACCCGGTTTTCATTTCTATCAAAACCGGTTCGAAAAAATAGGAATTTAAGTAAAATTTATATTTAAGCTCAAGTTTTATCATTCAGGGTCAAAAAATTATTTTGCAAAAAAATATTTTGCAAGTCTTCATTTAAAATTTATTTAGCTATACATTTTATCAAAATTTGTGATATTTTGAAGCGGTTCTGAAAAAAATCCGGTTTTTGTTTTTATCAAAACCGGTTCGAACGGGTTTTATAATTATTTAATTTCAATAGATAATTCATTCAATTAAAATTTAGGTGTTTTTGAAATGGTTCTGGAAATAAATCCGGTTTTAATTTTCATCAAAACCGGTTCGAAGCGGTTTTTGAAAGCATTTAAAACAATAGTAAAATTCATATATCTTAATTCAAAATTGAATTAGCAATACATTCAATCACAATTTCGGATGTTTTGAAGTGGTTCTGAAAAAACCCCGGTTTTCATTTTTATCAAAACCGGTTAGAACTTTTTTTTTAAATCCTTTAAAACAATATGCAAATTTATTTATCTCTTTATTCTATTAAATTTTCGAATATTTTGAACCGGTTCTGAAAAAACCCGGTTTTCAGTATTTATCAAAACCGGTTCGAACTTTTTTTAAACCCTTTCAATTTAATTATCTATTCATTCCAACAAAATTTTGTATGTTTTGAAGCGGTACTGGAAAACTCGGTTATTATTTTTATCAAAACCGCTTCGAAACGGAAACGGAAAAAATCGGTAAAAATCGCAGTTGTAGAAATATTCAAATTTTAGCTCAAGTTTTATCATTTGGAGGTAAAAATAAATTTTTGATTTTATTTTTAATTCTCTCTTGGATCGGATCTCTGAAATAACCGGTTTTTTATTTATAAAAATAAAAAATCTAATTTTTATATTTTTTTCTTATTTTACTAATCGTCTTCTATTTTTCCTTCCCCTTTTCCAGAGTCTCAATGTCCGCGATGCCGTACGTGATTGTTTGGAAAAAGATCCCTCCGAGCGAACCGAAGAAGATGTTGAAATTCTGCTCGAATTTACGCAGGGCCTTAAGGCCTTTACAAATATTACATTGGCCGTACGGCGAGCGCTGTGTTCCGTTATGGTCTTTGCCGTGGTCGACAAAGCGGGAACAGTGGTTATGTCCGATGGCGAAGAATTGGATTCATGGTCCGTGCTAATTAACGGTGTGGTCGAAATTGAACATGCCAATGGCGAACGTGAAGAATTGCAGGTTGGCGATTCCTTTGGCATCCTACCCACAATGGATAAACTCTATCATAAGGGTGTTATGCGCACCAAATGTGATGATTGTCAGTTTGTGTGTATCACCCAGACGGATTATTATCGCATACAGCATCAGGGTGAGGAGAATACGCGGCGACATGAGGATGAAGAGGGTCGCGTGGTTATGGTCACAGAGCTGAGGCAGATTGGTAGTAATGATGGCACTGGAGCGGGTGGTAGTGCAACGGCCCAAAGTTCGGCAGGAAATGCCAAGAGGGGCCATGTGGTGATAAGAGGTACTCCCGAACGTTTGCTACAACAATTGGTGGAGGAGAATTCGATGACCGATCCCTTTTATGTCGAAGATTTTCTATTGACCCATCGGATTTTTATTAAAAATTCTCAAGAAGTCACCCAAAAGTTGCTGAATTGGTTTGAGGCCGATGTCAATGGTGTCGAGTCGGTACCAGGAAAATTTGCCAGTCATGCCACAGCCCAAGAGATCCGAGATCGTGTCACCCGCGTGGTTTTGCTGTGGGTCAACAATCATTTTACGGACTTCGAGGCCGATCATGAAATGATGGAATTTTTGGAAATATTTGAAGCGGGTTTGGCTCGAAAAAATCTGCTAAGTCAATTGCGGCTACTGCACATTGCCTGTGCGGCAAAGGCCCGCAATCGTTCGTGTACCCTGACACGTTCCTCACGCGATGAATCGCTGAATTTTACCATAATTGGAGGCTATGAAATGCGTGGAGCCTGTGTACCCACCGGAGGCTGTGGCATTTATATTTCACATGTCGAAAAGGATTCCAAGGCCCAAGAAGCCGGACTGAAGCGTGGCGATCAAATTCACGAAGTGAATGGTCAAAGTTTTGAACATGTTACGAGTAAGCGAGCCCTGGAGATCCTTATGGGTTCGACACATTTAAGTATAACGGTGAAGAGTAATCTGCTGGGTTTCAAAGAAATGATGCAGGCTGTGGAGATGAGTACGAGTGGTGGTGCAGGTGGTATGGGATCGGCTAATGGAAATATGGCAGCATTGGGTTCTAAATCGCTGCGTAGTCCTCGAAGGATATGTGCCAATGATGTGGCCAAGCTACATGGTAGGGCGGATTCAACCACAGATGATATGACGGCGGCGGCAAATAGGGCACACATTGTGCGCCTAAGTTCGGTGGATATGTTGCTACATTCTGGGGAAGATCAAACGGATAGAGGCCTACCAAGTCCGGGTACACCGGTCCAGTCTTCGGGTAACATGGCTTCGAATTTCATGAACAATTTATTGCAATCGGTAAATGCCTCTGGGAAGAAAGATCCCAATGGTGGCATGCAGGGTAATGGTGGTGGCGGAGGAGGTGCCGATTCCAAAGGTGGAGGTTTCATGACCCTGGCGCCCAAACGTAGACTACAAAAAGCCTTGGCCAAAATGAATTTGTTACACAAAAATGTCACCGGGCTGCAGGCCTCGAATTTAAATGACAGCAGTGATGCTCTACTCAATGTGGCATGTTCTGAAAAGCATAAATCGGGGAGCCTTAGCA